GAAGGTGGACATGGTGGAGACCCTGGGTTGTAAGGTGTAGCTCAGCCTACCAGCACCAGCATCTCTTCTCCTGTTATTTCAGCAGGGCTCAAACTTTGAATTCAAATCGCCAGCCAGCCATGTAAACCCGTGAGATCAGGCTGCACTATGCCACAATCCAAGAGGGAAGTAGTCCAACAGACCAGCAAGATTGAGTTAATTTCTTCGAGAACAAAAGGCTTGAGAGTCCCTCAAAGTGTACCTTCCTATCCCGTGTAACCTTAGCTCCCACCTGCCAGTTTTCTATATGGTACCAAGAGGTCTGCCCGGCCCTCAAACCAGGGAGAGGTGATTGTGTGGGGAGGCCAGAGCATAACGGGTTGGGGAAAACAGGTAAACCAGATCTAGTCCTTACTAACATGTATCTGCACCCTCTCAGTACTTTCTCTGTCTTTCATTTCTGAGATGCATGATGCACTTACCCTAACATTAGCACAGAGAGACTGGAAGTTGGTGGGAATGCTAATTTGTTGATCATAGGATTAGCTAATTCAGTCCCTGATGAGCATCTGAGCATGTGACCAGCAATCTTGGCTTCTGCACCTTGCTTAGAGATGGAAGTGGGGATTGCTTAATAAGATACAGGCTCACTTTGAAAGTCCTGACTGTTTACACCCTGCTTCTTATCAGGTAACAGTGAGCCACAGCATCAGTTGCTGCCAGGGTTCCATTACCTGGAGTTTGAGGACTTCTTTTATATACTATTCTATTATTTATATGCTCACTATTTATATCACTAATTGTACTTGCTAATTGTTTGTATGTACTCTGTTCTAGGCCTTTCCCAGTTATTGTTTCAAATACAAATACAAACCAGGAGAGGTCCAGTAACTTGTCTACAGTCACACAGCTAGGAAGAGTGAATAATAGAACTCATAAGGCCATGCTTTCTCTTTAACCTCATGGCAGAACTCAATCCCCAAACAGGGCAAAGTGCTGGGGTGACATTCAGTCTGAGTGCCAACTAGGGGGCGGAGGCAGGCATGAGAGGAAGGATTGGACCAGATTCTCTGGCGGGGCCTCCCAGAAAGTATTGTTTTCAGTCAGACTGTCAGATTCTGTAAATTATTAATGTCATAACTGACATACAACTCCCCACAGAGAATTCTTTTTGACAGTTCACAGGGATCATGAAGTAAGAGAAGGGTCAAAGTTCCTAGCTGATGACTGACAAGCAACTCTGTGCCACACAACACAGCTAGTTTCCGGTGGGACACTGGGTGTGAAGAGGTTTGTACAGGATTGCTGCGAGTTGCAGACATGGGCCTGCAGCTTGGCTTTGGGATTAACGAGCCCGTGCTGTTTTTCATATTACAGCCGTGTGAGTATGGAATGGTATTTCTAGAGTGGCATGACAAGACCTAGGAAAACCTTCACAGAGATCTTCCAGGAAGAGTGGCCTGCAGTGCAGCTAAGTGAATAGAACTCTCAACATCCACTAAGCCACCAATGAGTGTGACATTAACACAACCCCATAGCCTCATCTCAATCCCTTCCTGCAATCAGGAAACAGGATACAATGCCTACTGTTCACTGGCAATTTACACAACTACAGTCACTGATGTGTTTTTCCACCTGTATATTTAAAAAAAGTGCTAAAGTCACATAATCCTAAAATAAGAGAAACCTAAGAGCTATACAATCATGCTATGAATGTTTAAAAACCGGGTTGAATTTTCCCTTCTTCCTCCTTCCAGATTATGTGCTCAAACAATCGCTTTCCACATTGGATCTAGTGGAGTTCTAAATGCCAGTCACTAGCGTCAATGGCTCACTGACAGTAAACCGCACATGCGCAGTGGGCATGTCTGCTTGTGCATATGGTGGGAAACGCACAGCTTGAGGCTGCTCTATCTACATTTTCTGCTCAGATTCTCTTGAGACTGAGCACCCATTTTCAAGACAGTAGGTCTCCACGAATGTTGTTATTATTTTATCCAAGGTCGGGGGGGGAGCGTGGTGGGGGAAGGAAGATGCAGTTTCCTGGTCATCACCGCACTCCCCCACTACCGCCTCTGGCAGGGAGCCCTGAGCCTTTGAATTTACACAGGTTCCCAAGCAGCTTCGCCAGCACACTGAAGTTGGGCCCTGCGACTGAAGCAGGTTAGGCAGATTTCTAAGGAAGCAGGAATAGTTAATGTCCCCAGCAACTGGCTAACAGGCATCGGGTTTGGGATCTACCAGCAAAAGTCCCTCCCGGTCCCCTCCATCTGCACTGAGGAGGCTGAACCACACCCTGGAACCCCAGCCATCTAAGTGTTCGCGCACTAGCTCTGTGGGATCTGGACCTGGGTCTGAGGAAAGAAGGGCATGGGCGACAGGCGCGGATCCCTCCTCCGCCAGCGGCCCGGGCCCCAAGCTGCCCGGAGCACGCTATTACCCGAAGGCGGCTGCGGGCTTCGTCTGAGGCTCGGGTATCCTGGACTTCAAGGGCGAGAGGAGCAGCCGCAGTCGCAGGGCCGCAGGGTGGACCGCTGCAGTCGCCATAGTTCCAGGTCGCACCTCCTCAAGGAACGCGCGTGCGCCCAGCAGGATGCCACCTCCAAGTGCCAAATTCAAAGCCACACCCCCGGCAGGCCACGCCCCTTGTCAGGCCTGCACAGAAACGAAGCTTGTCCTCCTACACCTAGCTCTCCCTGGGTGGATAGACCGGTTGACACTGCTCCTTGCTTCCAGTTGCTATGGGTCCAAAGCTATGCAGAGGCAGGGTCACCTGCTGGGCATCTAGGCAGAGCCTCTGAGGGACAAATGCACTGCAGACCATTATTGTTTTCTGCTTTTGTTGAGAAAGGGTCTCATGTAGCTTAAACTGGCCTAGAGCTGGTGTTGACCTTGAGCTCCTGATACTCTGGCCTCATGCTGGGATTGCGGGCCTGCTTTACCACACCTGGCAACATTACACTTTCTACCATCTACCCCTATCCCTTGCTAAGTAAAACGGTAGCAGCAAGCTCTTAGGTTACCTGTGTCGACATTTATTATGTAAGTCTTCAAGAATTCATCGTCTACACATTGTACTGTGCCAGCTTTCTGCACCACTGGGACAAATATCCGAGAACCATTTAAAACGAGGAAACGTTCATGGTTTCAGAGCTTTCAGTTCTGGCTCATCTGGACCCGTTGCTTTGGAACTGAACAGCACACAGTGGTAGCAGGCACTTGGCGGAGGCTGGGAAAGGAGGGGGGCAGGGTATTCAAAAGAGGAAATTGTTCAAAGGCATGCTTGCAGTTATAGTTTCTTATAGTCAGGCCCCACCTCCTGCCATCTTCCAAGAAAGCCATTAAAACTATGAATCCATCAATGAATTCTTCATTGATTATATTAGAGCCCTCAAGATCCCATCACCCCACCAAGGACTGGTTCCACTAGTTGGGGGGCCAAGCTTTCAACACTTCGTACCCAAATCAAAACTGCAGTCATTTCTGTGCCAGGCACCCTAAAAATGCTTCACTTTATTTTCAATCCACACACACTCTCTCTCCATATCCATCTCTTACCTCAAATTAAAGAGGAGATTGTAGCAAGGGAAGTTAGGAATCTTGGACCACATGGCTGTGGAGGGGGCTTCAGGCCTGCTTAGTTTCATAATACTGTATTAAGACAGCACACCTCTCACTGCAACACTAGCTCTTCACTCTTTATAACCAGGTGCTTATAAAATGCCGTTGAGCTCCCCACTTCTGTTTTTAATTTTTTTAAGGCAAGAAAACCATGAAGCCCACCTTGATTCCTTCCCCTCTTCCCCTTCTTCACCTTACTTGGCCCTAAAACCTGGACATGAAGGAAGAAGCAATTGGTTCATTGGCTCAAGTTTTGGTAATATTAGTAATGAACTATGAAACTGGATGTCAACCTTTTAGATAACTTTGTAAATTGCTTATACCATGGAGAAGCAGCCAGCATGAAGCTAGCCTTGCTTGGATATGCTTGGATACTCAATCCTCCTGCCTCAGCCTCCCAAGTGCTGGGATAATAACAGAACAGATTAAGTACTCACACAGTTAAAGGAGCATCAGATGTGTGGACAAGAGTTGACATATTATTGGAATTTTCATTGAATATGAACATAACATTTTAGAAAGTGTGGTTAAAAATCAAGGTTAAAAAAAAAAACAAGGTGGAGGATTCTTCCAAGGAACTGATGTGAAGGAATAAAAAACTATGTTTTTGGTCTCACTATCAAGATGCCATTTAGCCCAACTTGAACAGAGAGCTGACTCCTTCCACATGAGCACGGTAGCACACATGAACACACTAAATACTAAAGAAAAAGAGCCACCGAGTGGGTGTGTTGCTCATTTGTGAACCTTCATTAATTTAAAGTGAAATGATTGAAAATATCTGATAGGTTGCATCTTGTTGTAAACAACCCATTAAAAGGCAAAGAAAAATACACTACAGTAAATGGTTAAGATTTTTTGAGGAGCTCCTTTTCTCGTTCCTGCACATAACAGGTGGGATGACAACCACAGCAAGTGGAACACCTGTGCTTGGGAGCAACTGTGGAGTCTCCTCCCCATTTTCTGGTCTGGCTCCCCTTGCCTCTCTGGCTTCTGCCCAAGCATACAAGTGGAACTTGGAGCTAGGTGCACACCTTTAATCCCAACACTTGGAAGGCAGAGGCAGGTGGATCTCTGTGAGTTTAAGGCCAGCCTGGCCTACAGAACGAATTCCAGGACAGGTTCCAAAGCCATACAGAGAAATCCTGTCTTGAAAAACAAAAACAAAAATTGGCTCGCACTGCAACCCATCCGAGGTAAATGTGGCTTTTCAGAATGGCACTTAAGAGCTGAGTTGAAAGAAAGGCCTCTGAGCCATGTGGACTTTGGTGATGTGGCCTCTTGGGGGCAGAATGCATTGCTTGGGAACGAACACCTTTTCACTATGAGCATACTCTAATGCACAAGAAATGCCAACATGAGCAGTATATTCATACCAACACCATTCAGTACCCTGTATATAAAGTATAAAATTTTATTTCAGATTTTTTTCTTTTAAAGAAAGGGTATCTTATTAAAAACAGAACCAAACATAACTCTGTGTTCTGGGAGCACGGTTAGTCTCCTTGGGCCCTCAGTGTCCTGAAGCATTCTGCATAGCTTGGCAGGAGGATGTAAAGAGGTGTTCTGAGTCCATGTTGGGGTCCCAGAGACTCCGACATCCCATGTACTTGTTTGGAGTAGGTGCCATTGACCACAAAGTCATCAGTCATCATGGGCAGCCAATGAGGTGCCGAGAGCAAATGAAGGTCTTCCGGTCTAACCTACCAATGACTGGCTCCGTATAGCTGGTTCAAGGCCTTTCTTGTACAAGGTCAGCACCCCCATGATGTTATAAGGCTTCATCTGCTAACTGCCCTTCAACTCATACAGGTTCAGCCACAACTCGAGGTGCTGAGCAACTGTCTGGATGTCAGTGGTGAGCATGGTCAGTAACCCATGGAAACAACCTGGAAGTCTGTGGTCACAATCTGGGCCTGGACCCGAAGCACCTATCCTCTGCAATGGACCCACAATTCTTTCCTTGCAGAACACTTAATAGACATGATTTTAACACTAGGACCCCGATTGCTACTGCAATTCCAAAAACAGCTCTGGCTTCCCTTGCCATTTTCCCCCAAAGCTCCATTAAAAATACGTGTTAATTTTGTCTTCTTAAAACAGCATTAGAATATAGGTTAAGAGGAAAGAATTTAAAGACTATCCAGGTTCCTCCAGGAAATCCTGGAACTTCCCTGCTCCAGTTCCCTTCCAATGTGCACTCTGTACAGTTAAGGCATGAACCCAGCATGTGTTGACAGAACAACTGAGGCATATAAAGTTACAGCAGGTTCCCTCCAAAGAACGTGCAGCCTGTATACAGACATTGTCTGTTTTGTCACATCTGGTGGGTAGAGTTGACGTGTAATATTGACACGTTTCTCAATAATCTACAGAGTACAGGATAGGCCAACAGTGAAGGATGAAGTGCCAACTAGTGCCAAAATGTCAACAAGATCAAAGCTGCTTCACAGTCCATTCCAGGAGTCCTATGTATCTTCTGAGGCTGCAGGAGAGACAATCACAGCTCACTGTTGTCAATGACACACCATAATCTTTTCTGACAGCCAGACTGTCACTGCATCACCTCTGACCTGCAAACACCAGCAGTGACTGCAGTTGGCTCAGGCAGCTTCAGTTGGCACGTGGGCTTGCTAAAGGCTTTGGTCATGTCCAAGGAGGAAGAGGTGACGTTTTCTGATTGTTATTTCCTGCACACCAGTTCCCTCTGTGCGGTGCACAGGCTGAGGAATGTCAGGAAGCACCAGAATGTAGGAGAAAATTTAGAAACTTACAGTCGTTCTTATAGTAGCTGCAATCAGCAGCGGTTCTCAGTGGTGAGTGCTGGGTTTTGATGTCCTCCCTCTGCCCTGTAGTTTCTCCTCCTGCTTAGCGCTCCTTAACCCATTAACTTATAATTTGATAGACTAGAATTGCACATGATTCTTAAAGCTTAAGATGACAGCACAGCATTGGATGCTAAAGTTAACATCCTATAATTTTAGGAAGAACTGTGGCTGTCATATAAGGCATCTCTCTGAGCAGCACTTTACTGTGCTTAGAGGAAGCTGGTAGATTTTACATTCTTTGAATGTTTTTCCTCCCTCACCCAATGAAACCACAGGAAACTGAGTAAATAGCATAACTGAAGACTATGGCACAAGCTGAACCAAGACCATCTTTCTCATCCAACACCTCTACTTTTCAAAACCCAATAGGCTATTCTTTTTAGTTCCCTGTCGTCCCTCCCCACCCTTGTCCTGGGTCCTGCGGCAACCTTCATGCTTGTACTTTCTGAAGAACTACTGTGGGCTGCAGACTTCTCTTCCCATTCTCCAGTTCCAAAATGCATGACACTGCAGATGCAGGGCTTGATCTGGGATAAGAGTTCTGAAGGCCAGGGAGCAAACAGGGCTTGTGCACCTGGTGAACAGTCTAGTTCCCACTGCCAGAGCCCACTCAAGCTTAGCTCTGGCTGGCCTGGATCAAGTGGTTCAGCAGGTCTATCCTGCAACACTGGTGAAGTGCCCGGGCCAACTTCCCCACAGTGGCCCCCTTGGTGCCTTCCCGCATCAGCCATTTCTGGAGCATCTGGTAAACCTTTTCTTTCAGCCCATCTCGTTCATAGTCGTGGTCAATTTCATCAATCTGAGACTCAGTGAAGCCAAGCTTGCGGGCACAGCTTTTCCATTGCCTTCCCAGGTTTTCCCTGACAGGGTTCAGGTGATTATCAGTCAGACTACTGGTGTTGTCTGTCAAATAGAAAAGAGAAGAAGCTTCAGCCTATAGTCCATGTGAACATTCTAGTGTCTGCAATGCTGAAATGGCCCAGGAAAGTGAAGAGTACTACGAGATGCAAAAAAAAGATAACTTTTTATTTCACTCGAGAGAATCCTGCTCTGTAGTCCCTTTGTCTCCTGAGAACTGGGATTATAGATGTGTACCACCATGCCTGGTAGTAACTGTTATTGACTTGTTGGGCAATACTTGGCCCAACTGCAGTCATTAAGGAGTCTTTATACGACTTAAAATAGGGTGGCCTTCCTTCTTGGCAGATGTACACGTTTCTGAGCCATAACTGATGGCTTCATGAACAAATCCCCTACATGGCTGTTATATTCAACCTCTGCCTGCAGTCCTGTTCTAGTTAAACTAACTGGATGTAATGGATGGTGGATTATTGTTTCTCTGGGACATTTCTTTTGGGACTTTCTTCTTAATAAGGACACAGAGATGAAGTGCAACCCTCATTTAATTACAATGTCTTCCCTTATCTCTGAAGGGATGAGGCACATGCACTTTTCAAGGGTTTCTTTCCCTCATTTAATTACAGTCTTCCCTTATCTCTCAAGGGATGAGGCACATGCACTTTTCAAGGGTTTCTCTCCCTTCATCAAATTGCTGACACTTCATTTTATTATATACATGGTCTTTCTCTTGTCACAAGCTCCATTATCTTAGACCTTCATAAAAGTAAGTAAAGGGGCTGGGTGGTGATGGTGCACGCCTTTAATTCTAGCACTCGAGAGGCAGAAGCAGGTGGATCTCTGTGAGTTCAAGACCAGCCTGGACTACAAAGTTCTGGGACAGCTAGGGCTGTTACACAGAGGAACCCCATCTCAGAAAACCAAAACAAAAGAGAGAAAGAAAAAGGAAAAGTCATCCTAACAGTCTTTGGTCCTCATTCCACCTCAGAAGGCTGAATCTAAGGAAAACACAAACTCCTCCTCAGCTCCCATTAGCACCACATTGCAGAATCAGTCAACTCTGATAACAGGCTAAGAGCTGTAAATTGTCAGTCTCTGTAGAAGAAGAGCCCTGGGGGTCAGTAGAGTCACAAAGGTTACTTGAGTTCCTCAAAAGCTAAAAACCCATCTCCCAGGCATCTAAAGGTCACTCTTCCAATGAGGTAGCTCAGCGACTGGCAAAGTATGCAGCCTGCTGAACCACTCTGGCTCCTGCTTTTGGTAAATAGCTTTGGGGACCATATTTATACTCATCAGTGTGCAGACTATCTGTGGCTGCTTCTGCACTCCCATGATGGGCAAACAGAGCCTTGCCTATTTCATGCCCCTTCATAGAAACAAAACAAAACTGCCAACCTCCAAAGTTAATCAGAAAGCTGAATTCTGGTTCCTTTTTGAGACAGGGTCTTGCTGAGAGGATATTAAAAGAAAATTAAGATTCTATATGTTCTTCTGACAAGCAAAAATGGTCAAAAAGTGTCCAAGTCATAATACATTGTACCCTTTTTAAAAACTCCCTTCAGTGCTGGGGACTGAATACAAGGTTTAATGCATGCTAGACAAGCAAGCTACCACAGCTACACCTCAGTCCATCACTGGTCCTTAATAAACATCTTACCAAAGATGGCTTGGTGCTTGGGAGCTGACTCTTCTTTGCACATGTTGTCTGGTAGTTGTGAACTCAGTCCAAGATCCATATAATTGTAGTTTCCAATCTGAACACCAGAACTATTATATATAGTACATTTTATGGACTCATCTGAGTAGAGAAAAAGATATAGGTAAGTGCATGAGATTGAGCACAAGAGAAAAACATACGGCATGTAAAGGTGCAGGACTTTATTACAGATGCTCAATTGCTTATCCTATGACACTCTTAACGGTCAATTCTTTATAATGTGACTATTTGACTTCACAACCATTATGATGTCTACCATTAAAAAGAAAGATACCAGTATTGGCAAAAATGTGGAAAACTGAAGCACCCACTTATTAGGAATGAAAATGGTATAACCAAAGTGGAAGACACTACAGGGTTTTCTCAAAAATTAAAGATAGAATTACTATATGACTTCATTTCTAGGTATGTATATACACATACACACAGACAGTCTCTCTCTCCCACACACCCATAGAGAGACACAGAGACAGACAGACAGACAGACTGAGATTTCTACAAAATAATAGTTAACCAAGTACTACTTTATTCTTCTTTCCCACCTACTGGAAGACACACCATCCTTATAAGGCAGTTAAGAGTTAGAAGGCTAACATTTGTTAGGTCTGTCTGATCAGAGGAGCAAACAGAAGAATCACCTCTGTGAGATCCTCCTCAGGGTATAGGAATTCCATGACCGATTGTGAACTGTGATTCCCCTTACTACTGGCAAAAACTCAGCATCAAAAAGAGGATGTTTTCTTGGCAAGACTGGAGCTTAAAGACAGAGTAAGGACTCTTGCAGCCAACTATTAAGACCGGGCTACTCATATGGAGCCAGGACCAGAGAATAACACATCACATACTGGTGATGACTGCTTTCCACCCATGCAGACTCAAGCTCTGTGAGGGAAGGAGCTCAGGCTGCTTGCTCACGCTACAGTTCCCTAGCAGCCAGGTACAAAGCAGGAAGTGCTCTAGAAATGTTTATTCAATTAATCATGAGTGAATAAAATACAATGGTGACACAAAACATTTTAGCTGTAAACGCAAAGGAAGCAAAAGGACATCCCACTCAGAGTATATGTACAGTATAGATCTCACTTAATATCTAGCTCAATGTACTTTCCATAGAGTTTACAAGAAAACCTACAGAAAAGGCAGGACACTTTGGGGAATTTGTCATTTTGAAAGACAAATTGTTTTGTATCAAGGAACACAAGGCCTCATGCATGCTAGGCCAGTTCTGTATCATTGAGATACACAGCCACTTAGAAAGTTTTGTGGTTCTCAAAGCTTCCTCAACATCTGCTGATTCCAGGGTCCCGAGGACACAGCACAGTTATTGCTAATGGATGACATCTGGGTAGGATTAGGTATCATGGGAACTATTATTTGGTAAAATGATGGATGCTAAGCTACTTCCATGATAGAATATTAGAAACTATATCAATTAGTTTGGATTTCACCAGAGAGAGCTATGGAAGATGAAAAATACCTTTCTTACCACAAATTGTAGTCTATATATAAATGAGAAACAAAAATACCTGACTTCTTTCTTACCCTCAGAAGACAAGAAGATAAAAGAACTTAAGAAAATACTTCCCACTTACTGGAGAGACTGGTGTCTCACAGGCTAAAGAGAGATACCTATCAGTTATAAGGGTCTAAAATCCATGATGAGTCACAGACCAAACACAATCGCAGACCATGTGGTCTGATGGAGAACACTTCAATGTGGAAGACTGCACTTGCCAGCTGAAGGCTCTGAGTAACTTACTCTTTGTCCCCATCAGTAACTTAGAATTGATGACAATGCTACTGGTGGCTTCATTTTCAGCGGAAAAAAGAAAGGACAAGATAGGGACTATTAAAAATTAATTTACCTGCTAGTGGCAAGGAGATGAATGGAATGGTGGGTATGCTTCCAGGTAGATTGGTCTCAGGTACAGGAGTTTTGTAAGTATTATACATTTGGCTTGCATTTGGCCCATACCAAACTCCTGCACCTGAAGTTCCAAACCCATGCTGACTATATAATCCGTTGTTCCAGAATGGTACTTGTGTGTGGCTGGCTGGCCCTGGCAGCTGGTGTGCAGCATTTCCATGACTGGCAGTACTGGGATCAGAAAAACCTTTGGCCCCTACACTCTGAACATTCTCACGAGGTCTCTGCTGCGCAAAGGGGTCATGGGAGACCCTTCGTTTCCTTTCCTCCTCTCTGCTGTAAGCCACATTCTGCTTGGGCTGCAGTTTTGCCGGTTTCTCTGTGAATCTTCCAAAAGCATGGTAATTGGCTTCCTCTTGAAGTTTAGCTTGCACACTGCGCTCATTCTCTTCCTGTGGTTGCTCTGGAGAGGAGGAAAACCAGGACTCCTCCACAGGTCCTATCGGGAATCCCTGGGAGCTGTGCAGTGAACCAGGCTGTTCTGTAGCAGAGAAGAAAGGATCAATATGAAAAACAAAATAAAACATGAACATTTCCATGAACCTGTCCTTGAATGACAGGCTGAAAATAAGATTCATGAAAAGCATATAATGATCCCCTATTGGTTTAGTACATGCAGGAACTCTGGCTGCCAGGGAAAAACATGGGATTATTACAAGCAACAAAACAGAGTTTTGCAGGGATGGCTGAGGCAGAAGGGAACTTGCATTGGATCTAGAAGGTGACTGTCACCTTGGAAACCATGTGGGGTCTAAAACAGTAGCAGCTATGTTCTGTGCACATCCTACTGTTCTTTTGCTCTTTAAAAGCCTGTAGGAAGTCTGGAGAGATGGCACAGTGGTTAAGGGCACTTGCTGTTCTTGCTGAGCACTTGGGTTCCGTTCTCAGCTCAGGACCCATGTCAGGTGGCTCATAACAACCTGTAACTCCAGTTCCTGGGGATCTGGTGTCCTCTTTCAGCTGCCATGGGTACTACTCATACGTGGTGCACATATTCAGGCATGCACACACACAAATAAATCACATATGTATGTTTATGTAATAAATCGTGTACATATATATGTGATTACACAATGAATTATAACAAATCACACACACAAAGAGATCACACATATATGATTTTTATAAAAAAATCACGTGTTTATATAATAACTCATATATATGTGTGATTATATAATGTATTATAACAAATCATACACACAAACACACACACACACACACACACACACACACACACACAGCTTGTGGTAGTGCAGGCCATTATATCCATGACCGGATGAGGTTTGGAAGAGATTAGGAAATTTGCTCCAGATGGTATCTCACATGATGTCTTCCCTTTTGTGGTAAAAAAAGCACCCCTGTGTGGATCTGAGACCAACTTTTCTGCAGTATTCTCAAGGACTCTGTACCCAATGTGTCCCCAACTTCCTACAGAACTGTCACTGTATTCCTATGAGATGTATCAGATTGCTTGAGTCAAAACACTACAATTCTGGTGAACACACAGTTAAGAAGAATTTCCAACATACAAAATTTTAGAACATACATTAATTCTTTTAAGGCAGCTGTTTGAATTTACATTTTCATCCAGTTTCCATATGGTTTTCAGAAGTATTTTAGGGGCTAAAATGAATGAATAAGCAAATTAGTGGAGACATTACCTGAATTTGACCTGCTTGGAGGTAAGGGCACACAATCATACTGGAGAGAATACATTCTCTTCAAAACTGTGCTTTGATCTGGATACTTTTTCTATAATTGAGAAGATACACATATCTTAGTAATCAGCAGAAAATTATTCTGAAAAGAATCAAGCTCTTCAAACGAACCAAGACATTTCACACAAATATAATAAGCAGTAACTTTTTTCACAAATTAAATATTTTTCCAGATAAAATGATATGTCAAATTAACATAGTTAACTGGAAGGCTTATATTTCCTAATCTCAAGTTACCACAAAGTGACAGAGATCAAACATTGACAGTTAAATAAAACAGACACACAGATCAAAGGATCAGAATAAGGGAGTCTAGAAATACTCTCCCATCCTCATTACATGGTCAACTGATGTTTGACCAGGGTGCTCTGGAGCATCCAGAGAGGGGAAACTGGAAGGAAGATGGATCCTTATCATATACAAAAAGTCACTCAACATACATCAGTGATCCAAATTATAGTGCTGAACTGTAAGACTCTTAAAAGAAAGTGTAGGAGAAAATGGTCATGGCACTGGTCCTTGAAATTATTTCCTGACAATGACACCAAAAGCACAGCTAACAATTGCCATGCAATCAAATTAAACTTTTGTCACATCAAAATTAGAGTATGTGCATCAGAAGAAGCCATCAAAAGAGTAAAAAGGCAACCCACAGGATGGGAAAAAATATTTGTAAACCATATATATTTGATAAGAGATGAATATTCTGAATATATAAAGAACATCTACAACTCAACAACAACTACCACCACCACCTTCACCTCTACAAATAACCCAATTTAGAAACCAGCAAATGGAGGTCTGGGGATATAATGCAATGGTAGAATACTGCCCAGCATGTGTAATGTCGGGGCCTGATTGTGGTATTTTCGGATATAAGCCTCAGCTCAATTCCAGGAGCTCGAATCTTCTATTGTCTTTTAGATGCTGGCTGGTTACCTCTGGATGGCCTGGCCACAGTGGAGAATGGTTTCTAGTTTGTGTAACAATAGACCTAGGTCCAAACCCATCATGAGGGCTAGTGGAATGTGCCTGGGGGCTAGTGGGATGTGTCTGAAGACTGGTGAGACATGCCATTACAGAATGTCTGAGGGCTTGTGTATGTGCATGCTTTCTAGGACCATCTCTAGGGTTAAAGGAAGTGTTTCCTAGTCAGCCATATATACATAATAGATGTCTTTTTCCAGTACTGCTTTTGGAAAGCTATTTAAGAGGATGCTTGAATAAACCGTAGTCTCCAGTAATGACTGAGAGCTCTCCTGAAACGACAAGATGTCTCTGTCTCATCCTTAATGCCACTGTGTAGCTTGGACTTCCCTGATCCACACTCCCCCACTCAGGGTCGGACCTGGGGCTGTTTGACTAGTTCTGAACACAGCCCTAAAGACATCAGTCCAGAATAGATGGCTCTTGCAGCCTAGGACTGATACTGACCTGACCCCGGCAGTATAAAGTCCTGGCCAGATCCCAAGCACAAATTATGTTAGCCAGGCATGGTGGTGGGACATGACTATAACCCCAGCACATGGCGTTGAGTCAGGTAGATCATGAGTTGGAGATATGCTTTGGCTCTTTAAAACAAAAACAATAAACACCTTCAACGAGGAAAAACTGAATCGACAGCTCTCCAAAGAAGAAATTTAACAGGAACAAGAGCTAGCACAGGAAAGACGCTCCACCACCAGGAAATGCCACTTCATGTTGAATAGAATGGCTAAAGCAGAGCAACATAAAAACAGCATGTTTGTGAGAGTATGGCAACTGAACTCTTGTACACTGCTGGTGGAGAACGGGGAGACAGTTCAGAAGCCATGGATAATGGTGTAAAGGCTCCTAAAATGTGAGACAAGATGTCTATATGGCCTAGCTATCTCAAGCCTAAGTAAATACCACAAAGGACTGAAAGCACATGCTCAGAACAAAAATCTGTACACCACTGTTTCCACAGCAACATTCAAAAATAGTTCACAGAGAGGAACAACTCTGACATCTATCAACAGTTGACTGCACAGACAAATGTGGTATCATACACACAGTGGGATATTATTCAGCAACAAAATGAATGACATGGTAAGCAAAATGCTTCTACAAATGGAAAAACACCATATGGTTTTATTCCCATGGGCTACCTAGAACAGGTAAATTCAGAGACAGAGAATAAAGACCACTAGGGGAGGAGAAATAGGTACTTATTATTTAGTAAGTAGAGTTTGTGTTTGGGTTGCTAAAATTCTAGAAATATAAAGTGGTGGTGGCTGTGCAACCCTGAATTGTACACTTAAAATGGCTAGAAAAGTCAATTTTATCCCAATAAACAGGAAACAGGGGTGGAGATACAGCTCAGTCGTAGAGCACTCGCCTAGCATGCATCAGGCATTGATGATAAGATCGATCCCCAGGATCGGGGTGGGGGGATGAGAGAGAATTTTCTTCCATATGTTAAATAACGTTTTTATTAAAGAGAATGTGAAAATGTAGGAAATTACACTTTCCAAAGTCCTACCAAAGGAACGAGGTTAACATTTTGTAACTTTCCTTCACAATTTGTTTCTACTCACACTTGTATTTTTGCTCTTAACAGAATGTTCACATCAGTAAGCCGTTCAAAACTATTCACTAAAAAAAAATGCATGACTTGGGAAGGAATGCCACACCACATTAGTATGTCCACACCTTCTCGCGCTTTAAATATTGCTTTTATTTATCATGGGATATAGCTTTGTTTGTTTTGTTTGAGTCAGGATCTCACTATGTAGTCCTAGGTTGTTTTGGAACTCGCTTATATAGATCAGGCTGGCCTCAGACTCAGATATCCACTGGCAACTGCGTCCTAAGTGCTGGGATTAAAGGTGTGTGTTACCATGTCCAGCAGTTTCACCCATTTTTAACATTTTGTAAAAGTGATTTTCTTTTTATAGTTATTTTTCATTACACAATATATTTAGGTAAGAGTTTTGAAAATTCATACAATGCAGAACACGTAGAGTCATCTCCATGTGCCATTCCTTCCAGCCCTCTAGTCTGTTCTCTATGGGGAATCCTTATTCAGAATGGGATACCTAGCCCTTTTCTCCCTCTAGGTACTGACATGCAACATTCCAAAGCATGCAAATGTGTGCACGTGCTCACTGCTCACACACACACACACACACACACACACACACACACACACACACTACAAAGGGAATCACAATAGTGCTTTTCAGTAACAAGTCTTAAAGAGTCTTCTGTATCATCACATTTCATTTTACCTCTTCTCAATATTAGTTATGTGGGTTTAGATCAACTAAAGCATAAACAACTTATGAAATTACATGTTTGAGTGTATATGCTAGGATGGGTTCCTAAGGCTGTGAGTATGCTTGCATGGACAATTTTCTATCATTTTGAACACACACAAGGACAGGTTTTTATAATGCCTAATAGGTAATTTATAGTTCAAGAAACCTCATTAATTGGGTAGTCTGTATTTACCAACACTTACTATCACCAATACCAGATACAGTTCTGAAATTTGTTGGTCAGTGACATGGTATTTTCTCTTCTTCTGATGATTCTTATTAAAAAACATTGTTTTAGCTATACATTGGTTTCCTGGGGTAGGTGTGATTATTTCTTTCTTTTTCCCGGATACCAACTTAAGCTTGTTGAGTTCACTGCAGATTTTGGGCGGGATTTTTCCATTAGTATTGTGTCAATGACATTAAGAAATCTAACAGCTTTATCGGATTATATGTCTTTTTCAATTCATAACCATATGCCAGCATTTATTTACCTTTTTCTCATGTCTTTTTGAAAAGTTTCTCCATGTTTGCCCATCTGTAGATACTCTGTATCAACTAATACGTTTTGATTTCCATCATTGCTGGTAGGGTTACTTTTCTGATGCAGTTGCTGGTTGAGCATTCTCTTGGGTGATTTGCTGACTTTAGTATTTTGTCTCTGCATTTTTGTTGTTGTTTGTTTTTATGGTTGCTTTTGAAACACAGTCCCATTATATAGATTTGGCTGGCCTCAAACTCAGAGGTCTACTTGACCCATCTGAGTGTGCTACTACATCTTGCTCCTGTCTGATTTAATGCAGTAGCTTGTCTTTCTGATATGTAAGATTCCTCTGGGTTCTATGCATTTGGGTCCTCTGGAGGAGTAGTCAGAGCTCTTAGTTACTGAACTTCTCCAGCTCCATATTATAATCATTTTATAAATGGTTATTCATGTCAATTTAAAAAAAGTTCTGTATTTTTGAAAAGTATTTCAAGGTAAGTGCGATGGCTAATTTAATTGTCAGCTTTACATACTCTAAAATCACCTGGAAAGAGAGTCTCAAGAGGGGACTGTCTGCAGTAGACTGGCCTGTGAGCAAGTCTATGGGAACTGTCTGCACGAGACTGGCCTGTGGACAAATCCATGGGAGATGATTTTGATTACTAAAAAGACCAGCCCACAGTGGATGGTACTACCCCCTGGCAGAGGATCCTTGAGAGTAGGAAAAAGCAAGCAGACACTAGCATGGTGTATGAATTCATTGCTCTCTGCTCTTGACTGTGGGCTACAATATGACTAGTTGCCTCAGGTTCCTCCTCCCTTGATCTTCTTGTAATGGACTGTAACCTGAAATTGTGGGCCAAATAAACCCTTCTTCCTTTAAGTTGCTTTTGTCAGGCTAGTTTATCACAATAAGAAAACAAATTTAAGGCAGTAGCTATTTGAAAGTTATTTGATACAAAGATTTATGTTTGTATTAGGCTGAGTGTATTAAAAAGTTAACTTTCAAACAGTAAGTAATAATCCTTACTGATTATTTAGATTAATTAAAGAAGGATGTATTACTATCTCTAAGCATGGCTGAGGATTTTTCTATTTTTCTTTGAGTTCTGTAAATTTTTGATTTGTGTATTTAAGGACATGTTACTATGGGTATGTCCATATTGAAATCTACTGTTAGCTTTATGTGAGCTGAACCTTTTTGTCATTATCAAGCATTCCTATGTGAGGTAATGTTTTTTTTTTTTTTGCCTTAGTATCTACCTTGATTACTATATGTCCCTTTTATAGTGTAAGTATCCCTACAAAGTCTGTAAATTCTTGCTAGTTTCCCCATCTACCCACCTCCTACCCACCCACCTACTTACATCCTTGAAAATCAGTTTGCTTGCTTGGTTTATTTATTAAAGTTTCCTTTTCACATCTGCAGGTATATGATCCTAAGACAGTTATGGCAGCACAGTGATGACTAAGGAGTGTGTGTGTACACAGATGTGTATGCAGGTTTCTGTTCCTCTTAGCTGGCTGGATTTCGGAAACTGGACTTTAATATACCTCTCTTACTCTGGATACCAAACTCCCCACTTCAGCCTTAGATGCTGTTGCCACTGAGAACTTAGCACAGAGGAAGTACATAGAGGAACTAGCTTTTCTTGACAGCATGTATGTGATTCCCAGCAGTATCTGCTTGCTTCTCCACGACTCCTCCCTCAGCGTTAGCTTATGGGCTAGCATTTTATTTCTTTGTATGTTCTCATTCTCTTTCTATTTGGTGACTTTTATTTATTTATTTATTTATTTATTTATTTATTTATTTATTTATTTGGTGTGTGTGGTTATTTGCTTGTCTTGTGGTGCTGGCAACAGAACTCAAAGTCTCATGCATTATCCATCACTGGGCCATATCCCCAGGCAGGGTTTTGTTTTTTTTAAAATAAATCCCTCAGAATGACTGACCCACTTGTAATAATTTCTAGTCTCTTTAATGCTGGGTATCTTTTTTCTTTTCCTTTCTTTCTTTCTTTCTTTCTCTCTTTCTTTCTTTCTCTCTTTCTTTCTTTCTTTCTTTCTTTCTTTCTCTCTCTCTCTTCCTTCCTTCCTTCCTTTTTTTAAATTTTGTACATATACTTCTCTCTAGCTTCATACATTTCAATGGAGAAACTGGCCCAATTGCCAACATAATACTTCATACGACTGCTAATTTTGTTTTCTGTGTTCCCTATGCTAGCTTACTTTAATTACATTGCTTCTGCTGCCATGCTTGATAACGTACTTGGGTACGCTGCTGTTCTGCGTTCTTGCTTTATCACTCACCTTTAAATTTGCCACATCCTCTTCTACATATTCTTCAAATTGACTTAAGTAAAAAGGCCTAAATTCTTCTTCAATGCCTGCATGGAAAAACAATCCTTTAAATTTTGTATCGTGTTGTGTGTGTGTGTGTGTGCGCGCGCGCGTGTGTGCACATACAAGAGAGCATGTTTGTAAATGGGTGTGTGTATGCTCACATGTGTGAGTGTGTGTGGAGGTCCAAAGATGACCTTAGCTATTCCTCAGCCGCAAAACACCTTGCTTTTTGAGACAGGGTCTCTTGCTGGCCGGGCCTTGCCAAGGCTAGTCAGGTTGGCCAGTGAGCTTCAGGATCTGCTTGTCTCTCCCTCCCCAGGACTGAAATCCCAAGTACTTATCATCACAACTGGCTTTTTTAGAGGGGGGAGGGAGTCAAACTCAGATACTTCTGCTTTCAAGACAGTTTACCAACAAGGTCATCTTCCCAGACCCCTAAATTTCTTATTTAAAAAGTATTAATAATCTGTTATTTTTAAGTCACTTACCATAGTGTGTAGACAAAGCAATGAAATAAAGTTTGCAGCTCCAAATCAGTGCCTTTGATGAAGAGACCAGAGCTCAATGCCAGGTAGATAGACTAGGGTTAACACTTGCAATCCCTGGCTCCAACAGAACGGTGTGCCTTGCTCTGGCCCCAGCACAAAGTCCTGGGATGTGGTATAATCTCCAAGTAAATAAGGATGACTGAACTTCAAGTTTTTTGTCTTTCTGGCACTAAAAAGCTAGAGTTACTAAGTGGTGGTGGGGGTATTGCTGGACATGGTGAATTACGCATGTAATTCCAGAATTTGCAAGGCTGAGACAGAAGGATTGTCATAAATTCAAGGTTAGGCTAGATTCCATAGTGAGTTCCAAGCTAGCCTACACTACAGAATGAGGGACTATCTTAACAAAAGAAAACATGAAATCTTTAGTCCTAGGAAAATGGACTAGCCATATTTTCCCCGCAAAGTACAATGAAATATCCTAGATGTTATATACATAACAAACATATGGATACCCTGGAAGAAAGAAAGGTAGACAGGATGGCTTGGACCTTAGGGTCTGTGAAAACACATGAGAGTAAGTTCACTGTGTTTTTTCTTTGCCTCATACATCCCATACTTAAATCTGAAAAGCTAGCAACCCAGCAATATCATCCGTCACAGACAACAGCAAAACAATGACAAAAGCCTGCTCTTTCTAGCCAGAGGATTAAGCACGGGGCAGCCTACTAGCACACAAAACCTTTGGTTGGTGATCACTCTTACTAACCAGCGAACACCACAGAAAACACCCGTGATTCCACCCTATTCCCACAAACACGGTGGCCAGCCTAGATTTCTATGGTGGTCTGAATGAGAATGGTCCCCCAGAGACTCACATATTTGAATGCGTGGTCCTCAGCTGTGTGGCCTTGTTGGAGAAGGTGTACCACCAGGGGCAGGCTTTTGAGGTTTCAAAAGCCCAAGTCATTCTTAGTTAACTCTCTCTCCTTTAGATTGTGTCTTAAGATGCGAGCTCTATTAATGCTCCAGCACCAGGCCTGTCTGCCTGCCTGCCTGCAGACATGCTCTCTGCCATGGTAGTCCTAGTCCTCTGTAACTGTAAGCCCCCACCAAATTTTTTTTTCTATAATTTGCCTTGGTTCTGATATCTTATGACATCAATAAGGCAGTAACTAAGACAACTTCCAACCTGGTGAGAGGCTTTCCCAGATGATATAAGAGATCAAAGAGGAAGCTAGAACTTTCCTGCTTGAAGCTGGTAATAAGCTTTTCCAATCCCATATCATCAGTAGGTCATGGGAACAGCCTGGTAATAAGATACTCCCTTTCTCTGCACTGGCAATGCGTCCAAGAAAGCCTTGTAGAGACAGCAGGGGCGTTTGTCAATTTCCAGTGGTTATGAGGAGTCTCCACTCCAGTGGAGACGGGGACTTTGTGGACTCTGTTGGATCTCTAACTCAGACCAGCAGCATCAGAGTCCTTGACTCCACGGTTGATGGGGCTGAGTGGGACCTTGAACCTTCACTTTGCATCAGCAAGGTGCTGGTTACTATCATATACCCTTCCCCCGGCCCCTACTAGCAGCATCCGAAGAATCAGAAGATATCGTAAGTAGGAGGCACACTAAAGATACAAAGTGCGTAATTTTTAAATAGGAAAAAAACACTCCCTACACTAAACCAGAAAGATTCTATACTAGCTGACAAAAGGACTATAACATGTCAACATTGAGATAACAGAAACACTAGCATTACCTGCCAAAGACATTAAAACAGCTTAATGGCTCAGGGAATATAACCCATCTGGAAACAAATGAAGACTAGAGTCTTAACAAAGGAAAAGAAGATTGTTAGAAGTACAGGTCAGCAGTAGAGTGTGAGCTGAGCATGCTTAAGGCCCTTGGTTGATGTTTGGCACACACACACACACACACACACACACACACACACACACATACACACACACACATACACACACACACACACACACACACACACACACACACACACACACACACACACACACACACACACACACACACACGACGCGATTTCTCAACTGCAACCCTGGCCTTTGTCCTGCTTGTTTCACAGCAGGCAGCTCTCAAAATCCTCGAGTCTTCTACTGTAATAAAGGTATCATTTAGGAAGAAGCAGGGGGAGTAAACAGCCTCAGCACAGGGGATGGTCACTAGAAAAGCCAAGCCACTGATGAGATCTGGAATAGTGGGCAGAACCCTTCCCTCAAGTTGCTTTTGTCCTGTATTTTGTCACAGCAACAGGAAAAGTAACTAAACTACCGCTGTCACTTTACTGAAGTGACACATGGGATGCATCCTAAACAGGCACACAACCCGCTCTTACCAGGAAACGTTGGCCGGTCCTCTGGGGCTGCTTGCCAACACCGCTCCATAAGGCTGATGATCTCCCTTGGGCAGTACTCAATGATGTCCTCCACATTTGGCCTGTTCCCAGAGTTTATGCAAATCAAGAGCTGCTCAGCACAGATGGCGTCTGCAAAGAGGGATAAACTTCAGCTGGGGTTCTCAGTCCTACACTATTCTCAAGCGGGAAGATGACAGTACCTACTGCTATTTTGTCTCTACCTAGTATATGCTTTTCCCATGGCTGTCTCACTCTATAGAGCAACAGCCTTGTGACAAGGAGTTATCGTAGTCTAGAGATGACAGAATGAGGCATTGACTTTTGCAGATGAGTGACAAAATTCAAAACCAAGCTACTTTTTCACAGAACAAACAAACTGCATGGGTAAAGCCAGGCATTCCCCAGAGTTCAATACAGAGGCAAACCCAGTATGGTCTGGGCTTTAAGAAGCTCAGTTTAATAAGAGTGACTTAAAATACACACCGATAACTGACATTCCAGTAGCAAATATGAGGGGTAACACAATCATGTGGAGAACAGAAAGTCTGACAAGATTTTCCTGAATCAGAAAAGGAGGAGTTGTCGGGTAAAGGACCAGGAAGGAAGACTCCTGAGGGAGACTGCAAGTGAGGGCAGCAGGGAACTGACAGGATGGGAATGACAGAAATCATGTGCACCAGTGACCTGTGCCCAGTGTAAGTGGGCACACCGACGTGAGGGGAAGACAGAGAGGAGGGTGGAGAGAAGCCAGGGTGGAACCAGAAAGGGCTTCACACTTTACACTGGAAACCTGAAGGCTATGGGAGTCTTTGAAGGATTTTAAATAGCCAAGATGGTCCTCTCTGACTTCAAAAATTTTTATTTCCTTGATTTTTATTTTATGTGTATGGGTGTTTTGCCTGCGCTATATCTGTGCATCACATGTATCTAATGTCCATTGAGCCAGAAGAGGGTGTCAGATACCCTGGGACTGGAATTACAGACAGTTGTGAGCAGACATGTGGGTGCCAGAAATCAAAGCTGGGTCCTCTGGAAAAGTAGCTAGTCCTCTTAACCACTGAACCAGCTCTTCACCCTGTCCTGTCCGCCTTCTAAGATGACTGCCCATCTTGCCTGCTTTCTGATCGTGGAAGGCTCAAGGATCCAGCAGCAGAAATAAGGAGACTAGTGGAGACAGAGAGATGTTCATGTTTGTTTTTCAGGCAGTGCTAGAGATAGAACCCCGGGCTCTACAGATGCTAGACAAGTGCTCTAACACTGAGCTCTGACCCTAGCTGCTGAATTCAGTTTTTGAGGTTTTACTGGATGTGGGAGAGGGGGACTACGCTGAGTCTCAGGTGATGCTGAAGTTGCTTATTGTGCAACTCAGTACGGATGGTGAGCACAGGGAGCTACAGAAGAGTGGTGATAAACTTGGGAGCTTGTTGGGGGTGCCGCTCTGGAGGTTACTGAGGTACATGTATGTGTTGGGTCTAACAGGCTAATGGATGTCTTGGTCATGGTCAGAGACTGAGATTTAAGAGGGATCAGCATAGATGATGGTCCCTAATCTACTGGTGTTGATAATCAGGAAGAGTTTACAAAAAGGAGCCACTCCTTTCCATGCTTAACCAAACCCAAGGATGACTGTGCCTCTTCACAAAGACTTACCCATCTTTAGATTCCTAACTGACTAAACTGCCCACAGTAGGTAATGAAAAAGGCTCATTCACAAATAGAATCAAGTACATGATACATGCCTAGTAGTATGAAAGGCCATTCCTACTCCAGGAGGAATCCTGAAGTTTTACAGCAACTCCCAAGCTGTAAAGATAACAGGGTCAATCCACCTGATGAGTTAATCCTAAACTGGGTTGACTAATTAAACAAGAGTCTCCTGATTACATCCAGGCATTGTGTGTGTGTGTGTGTGTGTGTGTCTGTGTGTGTGTGTGTCTGCTAAAGACATTAGCAGTGAATAAATCAGATGTGCGGCCAGCCTTTATGAAATAATCATGGATTTTTAACAGGATTCACTGAGGGCCACTGTTTTACGTCAAAGTTTAAAAAAATTATTACATTTCAAAAATTTAGTGTGTGTGTGTGTGTGTGTGTGTGTGTATGAGACAGGGAGGAAGGGAGAGAGAGAGAGGGAGAGGAGGAGAGAGAGGAGATATATTTGGTGTCACGGTATATATATGGAAGTCAGAGGACAACTTTTGGAAGTCACTTCTCTCCTTCTCCATATAAGTCCCGGAGTTTGGATTGAATTCGGGTTTTCAGGGTTGGTGGTAAATGCTCTTACATGCTGAGCTATCTCACCAACCCTCGTGTAACATTTTGATTTCTATCAAAATCCCACATCTAAGATTGTCTTACTCTCATAGGGCTCCTTATTTGCAAATATTGCCCAAAGTACAATGCCAAAACTGTACACGTCTGACTTCTCTGTGGGCTTTGCGTTGATGTCGCTCAGGTGCTCAGGTGCCATGTAGTAGAGCGTGCCTCCATTCTTCTTGGAGATGCTGCTCACTTCCCTCTGCTTGTTGTGCTTCTCTTTAGTCAGTATGCTCCATGTCTTAAAGGAAGCCACACCAAGATCAGCTATCTGCAAGAGGGGTGGGGCCAACAGGATTTACTGCATGAAGGTTACAAGTAAATTAAGCTTGATATTTACAAAATAAAATCTGGGGACTATCCAGTATGGCACAGTCAATTTTCTAATGGTTGCACTGGGTTACCTAGAATAGTTACCTCTCAATAGACTCATAAAGACTCAGGATGTTCATGTAAAGTTCTGGCATCTCAATTATTTCCAAAGTTTTTTTTTAAATTTATTTATTATGAATACAATGTTCTGCCTGCATGTGCGCCCGCAGGCCAGAAGAGGGAACCAGATTTCATTACAGATGATTGTGAGCTACCATGTGGTTGCTGGTAATTGAACTCAGACCTCTGGAAGATCAGTCTCTTAGCCACTGAGCAACCTCTCCAGCCCTCCAAAGACTTTTTTAAACATTTATTTATTTATTTTTGGGGGGAAGACACATGCCAAGATGTATGTATAGAAGTCAGAGGACAACTTGAAGAAGTCTTTTCTCTTTATTCATTAGGCTTTGAACTCAGGTTTTTCAGGCTCGGTCGGCAGCAAGTACCTTTACTAGCTGAACAATCTTGCTGGTCCCTTCACATCTAATTCTTAATCAATAAACTGGGGACAAGACAACAAAACCATGTTTGTTCTAACTTCTCATTTACTTTGCTTTATTTTTTGTTTTGCTTTTTGTTTTTTTTCCCTGTGGAAGATGGAGACTGGTTACCACACCTTCTACATGCCCAGTAGCATCCAGAGGACCATGGCTGTGTTTCCAAGCATCCCAAAGCCACCCAGAGGGTGAGACCGTTGCTGCTACTTGTTTTGAGTTGGCAGCCTGAACCTAAGAGAAAACAGGATGGAGAGAAAGAAATCGAAACACACATAAAGGCAGAGAAAGATAACAAAGTCAGACACAGAGTAAAGAAGAAAGTGGCAGGGAGAAATGGCAGAGCAGGACAGTTTCGGAAGAATCCAAGGGGGAGGTCCCCTTCTGTCTCTAAGAAGCAAGCATTTGGGGAGGAGCTAGAACATGTGCTTACCTGACATTCATAGATTTTAACCCAGAATGTAAGGGGTAAGTTGTTAACTGAAAGAATGAACAGTCTTAAAAGACACTGGGATTACTAACCGACTGAGACACAAATGGTGTCTGATGAGGATCTTAGAGGCAGGTCCTGGTTTTAACCCAGTGCTACACATTTTCAGGTTCTTTTTGTTTCTTATTGGGGTGGCTCTGGGGATGACACTCAGGACTCTGTCCCTGAGCCATATAGTCCCCTGTCAATCTCCAGCTTGGATTCTAGCTGCCAAGACTAATCACATGTGCTGTTGCTTCCCTTAGTTAAATGCAGCCCCTGAATAGATGAAAGATGTGTGTCCTTTTTGTTATTACCTTTGTTTAACAAAAAGAGTTTTCCTAAGGAAATTGATTTTTTAAATGAAAATGGAAATAAACAAGATGTCAAAGGAAAGGTCTTTGTTTTGGGGTGCCAGAACTGAGCCCAAGATGTGTGAGTCTAGCTGAACCACACCCCTAGGTACACAAAATAGAAGATTCTGAGGCCAAAATGGCTGATTTATTGCTGCTGTGACTCTGGAGCCATTCCTGAATTCTAAGAATATTTTCCACACACTTCCATTCTCCCTTTATCTCCAGGGCAGAAAAGTCTTAGTCACAAGGTTTCCTGGGAAAATGATGAGCAGACAGCCCATCCCAGAGAGAAGACAGAAACCCTTGGGTGCTTCCGTGTCCAAGTCTATCCAGAGGACCCGGGGATGAGATTTTCCTCATCACTTCATCCTTAGTTGTCTCCCAATCCAAGCACGCCCGCACCTGCCCTTTCATACCACGGCAGCCTGGCAGCGGCAGCATCTCACCCAGGGCTGAGCTAGGTCCTCCTTTATTGTGATCACCTAAGGAAAGGATTTCCAGTGGAAAAGTCAAGCTACAATTAGTCAGCCTTCTCAAAGAATAGGTTGTGGATTACCTTGATGTGAAAGTCACGGTCAACGAGGATGTTTTCAGGCTTCAGGTCCTTGTGTATCACGCCTTTGTCATGTAAGTAGCACATCCCTTCGATGGTCTCCGAAATTATCCTTCCTTTTACAGAGAGTGGGACATTGACCTGAAACAACATAGCAAACGGAGGAGGAGCAACTACTACATCCAAGATGGTGGGACGCGAGCCCCAGGTTTGTGTGAGCAGGTTTCTCCCACGAGGTGGTCTGCAGCACCTCATCCCTGGGAAACCAGCCCCTTTCAAGAAAGATTCCACTCCAGGGCCGGCAGGGTACTAATGCAGATTTTGTTCAGTGCAAAAAATTTTTTAAATGCTATGCCAAATCTGGATGCAAATAAAAATACTGTAAAAAAAAAAAGATAGAAGTCATTGATCCTCCCGCTTCCTCCTCCTTCAGCAAATCCACCCACATGCACCACTATGCATTTACACAATGGAGTATTTCTCAGCTGTTAAAAACTGACCTCATGAAATATGCAGGTAAACGGACGGATGGAACAACACTAACAATAACAATCCTCCTGAGTGAAGTAACCCAGACCCAGAAAGAAAAACGTGGTATGTACTCACTCAGAAGTGGCTATTGGCTGTAAAGTAAAGGTCAGTCATGCTGCAATCCACAGACCCACAGAAGCTAAGTAACAAGGAGGGCGCAAGGGAGGAGACATGGATCTCTCTGGGTAGAGGAAACAGAATAGACATTGCTGGTGGATGGGTGGTGGGAAATGGGAACATGAGGGATCGAGTGAGGGGAGGATAGAGGGAGAGAGTACTGGAATAGAAAACTGGATTCGGGGACATTTAGAAACCTAGTACAATGAAAACTCCCAAGAGCCTAAGAGGGTGACCCTAGCTAAGACTCTTATCGATGTGAGATAAGGAGCCTGAACTGGCCTTCATCTATAATCAGGTAAGACTTCCAGTGGAGGGATTGGGACACCAACCCAAGTTACAGTTGTGTAGCTTGGTCTTCTTGTGGGACTCCTAACAGTGGGAACAGAGGCTATCTCTGACTCTTTTGTGTTCCTTTTCCCCCTACTAGGTTGCCTTGTCCAGGCTTAACACTAGGAAGGTGCCTAGTCTTACTGTAACTTGATGAGCCATGTTTGGTTGATATCCATTAGAGGCCTGCCCTCTTCTGGAAACAAAGGCAGAAAGGGTACATGGGGGGGGTAGAGAGGAGGTGGTGGGGAGGGAGTTGGCAGAGAGGAGGGAGGGGAAACTGAAGTTGGAATGTATACAATAAAAGAAAAAGAAGCCATGAATTAGAGAGAAAGCAATTGAGGAGAGTGTGGGGGCAGGGGCAATACATGGGAGGTATTGAAGGTAGAAAAGGAGAAAATGATATAATTATATTTTAACTTTTAAAAATAATTTATAAAAGAACATCCAGAGACCCCACAGACTCATATGCTTGAAGGCATGGCTCAGAGGGACTGGCACTATTAGAAGGTGTGGCCTTGTTGGAGGAAGTGTGTTACTGTAGGGACGACGGGCTTTGAGATCACATATGCTCAAGTTATGTCCAGTGAGGCATAGTCTCCTTCTACTGATGTGGATCCAGATGTAGAACTCTCAGTTCCTTTTCCAACACCACGTTTCCCCACATGACGCCATGTTTCCTGCCATGGCCATAATGGACTACTGAAACTGTAAGCTAGCCCCAATTAAATGTTTTCCATTATAATAGTTGCTGTGGTCATGGTGTTTCTTCACAGGAATAGAAACCCAAACAAAGACACCATCTTTATGCACATTATGCTGTAACTAAACCAAAGCATCAATAGCTTGACCACCACACTATAAAAGAAGGCTGGGTGTGGTGGTACACACCTATAGTCCCAGATACTGAGGAGGCTGAGGCAAAAGAATCACTTCAGCCTAAAAGTTGAGAGCAGCATTGCTACTGACCTTATTTACAAAAATTAATTGATTAATTGAAAATAGCAGAAGAGATTTGTTTCTGTCTTCATTGGTATACTTTCAGGAAAGCCTTGTTAGTAAGTATGGTTGTCCCCCAACCCAACCTTTTCTTGCTTCTCTCAGGTCCTTGGCTTTTCCTGGGTCTTATCCTGTGAAGTTTATCATTGGCTGAGCCCACAGAAAGCCCTCCATCATAGACGACTTATCTCTGGATCGAGATGCCTACTGCTGTCCCATGGCTGGCTTTACCTGGGTTGGACGATGAGAACCATCTGGTCAAACTACAATGCCATGTGTATCATCTATTACCCTTCCCAAGGGTGTTCATATTTCTGAGAGATCTGCTGATTTGGCAGTTGTAAGGTGTAGGGAGATGGAGGGAGGGGGAAAATATTCGCTACAAAGGCAGCCAAATGTTTCAGCCCCTTATACTCAATCCGTGTTCTGGCCAAAGTGGGTGATTGGCAGTTCTACAAACTGGCATCCTCCATCTCCTTTGCACATGGCGTTCTCTGTGCCTGGAAGGCTTACTCTCTAGTTGTCTGCTTCAACTTGGCCTTCTGCAGTAAGCCTTTCCCACCTAGCTCAGGTTGGAGTGGGCTCCTTGCCTATGTCCTACAGCAGGTGATGGTATGCCTATCAAACACCATCACATCATATGCTCACTAGCTCTTTCCACCTTTTGTACTTGCCTGTGTTCTGTCAGCTATGGGCTCCCGGAGAATCAGCACAAGACTCAGATCCTAATAGGTACAGAAACTTTAAAAACTTTTCTAGTTTTCCTGCATTCAGTTTTTCCATTTTAAACCTATAGTAACTTCTTAAATGGCCTAAAAGTACAATCGCTAACATTCCCCCTTCTCTTACAGTCGACAACAGCGTGCATGCTGTTCTTCATCGCTATCATTTACAACACACAATCAACCCAAATTTGTTATCACTTACACTGACCACGTGTAAGAAGATGATTCTTTGGAAGAAGATAGGTCTATCTATCAACTGTGGATCAGAGAGGCGAGAGGTACAGTAAAGAGAGAACCTTGAAATGGTGACACAAAGAATTATCAGTAGGCTTGGGTTGGGGAGGAGGAAGACAGCCCCCAAGGATATAAGACGGACTAACTAGAAAATCCAAACTAAACCAGGATTCTTGTGGGGCATACCTTTAATCCTAGCATTTGGGAGGCAGAGGCAGGTAGATCTCTGTGAGTTCAAGGCCAGCCCGGTCTATATGTTGCATTTCAGAACAGCCAGAGCTACATAACAGAGAGACCCTGTCTCAAAACAATAATCACAAAGCCTCAACAAACAAAAAAGAAGAGAGACTCCAAATCGTGAGACAAAATTCCCAAGCAGAAAGCTATAAAGGAACCTCAAGAGCAGTCAGTGCCTGCCACGTTAGCACAGCGCCTGCCATGTTAGCACAGCGCCTGCCACGTTAGCACAGCGCCTGCCACGTTATCACAGCGCCTGCCACGTTAGCACAGCGCCTGCCACATTATCACAGCGCCTGCCACGTTAGCACAGCGCCTGCCACGTTATCACAGCGCCTGCCACGTTAGCACAGCGCCTGCCACGTTAGCACAGTGCCTGCCACGTTAGCACAGTGCCTGCCACGTTAGCACAGCGCCTGCCATGTTAGCACAGTGCCTGCCACGTTAGCACAGCGCCTGCCACGCTAGCACAGCGCCTGCCACGTTAGCACAGCGCCTGCCACCTACCTCAGCCTTCAGCACATGCATCAGGTTGCCCTTCTCCATGTACTCCATCACCAGCGAGTAATTTCCTTCTTCCATGATGATGCCCAGCAGCTTCACCACTCGACTGTGCCTCAGTCTGTGCATCATCTTCCCCTCCTCCAAGAGAACCTCATTGTACCTGTGCGCAGCAAGGGCAATAGGTTGAGCAGGGTAGGCAAAACCTTGTACCCAGCTGGCTAAGAAGCCAGTGTCCCTGCAGTGTCATAAGTCACAGTCAGGTCTGTTCTGGTCTCCTCCTGGCAGACAGGTCCTAGAAGGCTGAGAGGCTTCTCCTCATCTTTACATCCCTCCCTCCCACCCTGTCTTAGGAACACTCACGGCATGCAAATCAGTTAATAAAAAGTGTAGCCCAGACCTGGACTGATGGAGACTGAGCTGGAGAACACAGCAAAAGAGGCATTACTCTCAAAACTAGTCTGAGGAGGGGGACGTCCTCCACTGACTGCCTTTTACAAGGTTACTGGAACTTTTCATCACGGAATTGGTCTCTTTTTTTGTATTTCAGGTTAGGTGTTTTCATTCATGGCTTTGTTTTCTTTTTACTGCCTCCCCTGTTACCCAGGTTTCCGTCGTCAGTGATATCTTTCCCACACATTTCTCAAGCATTAATATCTTTTCATTAATCCCAATGTCCTCATATAAAATAACAGTAAGAGTTATGGTAATGCCTCACACAGCCAGTGTGTGTCAAGTCTCCCAGCAGGTTAGACTCATTTAGAACTCCATGTGCTTAGCCACACAGGTGGCAATAACTACCTTCCATGGACAGCTAGCATAGGGCCGACCCATTTCTCTTCCCGACTCACTCAGCACGGTTGGGCCCTGTGTACACCCTTTTTAGGATGACAAATCCATGACTTTTGTGGAAACACAAGGACACTTTCCCAAAGCCTCCACTGTCTAGCTCTTTCTTCTCCAGCAGGTCACTGGATGACATCTTGATGTTGTCCAAGGATATGTCCGGCTGCATTTTGAATGCTCACCACACCACTTTTGGTTCTTGCTTAGTACTGTGTCCTATAAAGAAAACAAAGAGGATATCTAAGGGCATGATTTTAAAAGACCATTATTTAAAAATCAAAAACAAAAAACTACCACATGCTGCCAGACATGGTGCCACATGCCTGGAATCCTATTACCTAGGAGGCTGAGTTAGGATTGAAGGCTTGAGGCTAGCTTGTACTCCATAGTGAGTTTTACACCAGCTTGAACAATACAGCAAATTCTGCCTCAGAAAACAAAAAGCTCACAAAGGTACCACATATGTGGGGTGCCTTTGTTTTTATTGAGGATTAGTGCAATCTGTAACACGAGCTGTTCAGCTAAGAGTTACAGAAGACTGGGATTTTTATTCCAGAGGACTTTTCATTTCTGGCAACATGGAACACTAGAACAATTTTAAAACATTCTGCCACAAAGAGCTATGCATGTTAGATCACATAATTCAGACGTCCACTGAAACTCTGTTTAGTACAGTAGAAAAGGAAACACTGGACAAGGAGTAATGACTCACTGACATGGCAGCAACTGTACCAGTGTGGTCCTCGGTGAGGAGCAGAGGTGGTATGCAATACAAGAGGGTCAGAATGAGGCCTTCCTAGCACTTGGAGCTCCTCAGCATACTACTTCTCAGTGGAAAGATGGACTGGAAAAAATGAAAAGCAACCACTAGCAAATGAATACATGTGTCTAGGACTAGGGATGAGGTGTTAAAAATTTCTCTGTGAATTCATAACCTTGAGCCATCTCCAAATAAGTTTGAGCTATGAGTTCAGAGGATCCTGGCCATTCTCTTTAGGGCAGGATTCCCCAAACAAAGAATGTTTATGTAGAAAGAGGTCATAGTCTGATGACATTCTCAGATTATAAGGTTAAACCCAACGAAACAACTTCAAGGCAGGACAGAATCTGTCCTCTCCCATGATTACTTTAACATAAACTCCCTTTCCAAAAGTATAAATAACAAAAATTCCCTACAAGCTAGACCCTGTGTATTTAACAGACTGCAGACCAAGTACTGGGGAGAACCTCAGGTAATTAGTCTATCGCATGATACTAGGAAATAAATATGTTTCAAGTAATTATGAGCAAAATTCGCAACTGGAAGACTATAAAGAGAATCTGCACTCTGATGTGTAAAAGATTGAGGGCTGCAGAGATCTGCTCATCTCTGCTGAGTGACATTCAGTGTTTCTCAGAATGAAGACTTAAAGGAGTGCCTTGGTGGGGAGGCACGGAGCTGCAGTACCACAGTTAGTGTGGCAGCTTGGCTGAATTCAACATCCTCCTGGTCACCCACTCATCCAAGGTGACTCACTATAAACAATGCCTATTCAACACCAGCAAAGCTTATTTATACTTTAAATGCTGTGAAAGAAGACAGAAGCTCCAAAGGAAGGAAGGTAACACATAAGGTAACAGTGGCTTACGGGTTGCAGTACATTCTTAATGAGTACTTAAAAGGTGAAGTAGTAAGCATAGAGAAAACCCAGGAGGCCTCAGAAGTGCACAAAGAACATGTCCAATGTGATGTCCTTACTAAGAGTGGAACTATGATGGTCATCTCCCGAGGAAGCAAAGGCTCTTCCTCAGGGCGCTGTCATTCCTGAGGAAACTTTCTGTTCATCGTAGAAAACATGGCCCAGAGTTAGTGTTTCCCTCTGGGTGAAGACCTAAGACATTCAATAGTATCAAGAAGTACAGAGAAGTCACTAATTTCTGAGCCGTGTTATGGGAATCCTCTTAACACTGTGTTAAAGGTGAGAAGTTTTTTTATCTTAGAGTTATACAAGGAATAGATAGTATCTTACAGACACGGGCTGCCTGTGATCTTGTCTGGTGGCCTGCGGCAGAAAGCTTGGGTAAGTGAGTCTCCCATACTGTACAGAAGATCCCTAGAGGACGCCAGCATCACAGCACAGCTGATACGAGATGGACATGAGAAATGATCTTCTCCATGTCTCATTGCCAAGCAAGAAGACTAGTGGTGGGGTAGAGGCAAGGAGAGGAGGCTGCCCAGATGAAGGGTGAAGGCTGAGGAGTGCGGGAAGGTGCTGGAGGTTTGCTAGTGGGAGCCATTCATGCAGTGCCGAGCAAGGACCTTCCACGAGTATGAACTCTTAAACTCATTTGCCTTGTGACTTTAAGGAACTTACTTCCTTAAAAGTCTCAATTTCCTCATCTGTGAAAGGAAATGACAGCTCATCTTGGGACTGGCAAGGAATTTATGAGAAAATAACTCATGAAAATACATTTGCCTGCTGAGTGGCTCTGGCTACAGTTAGCCCTGCTGTTTATGTTTATCAACAACAGGGCTCTGAGAACCCCACTGTCACTGGGCCGTGTACACAGGTACATTACCAAGTGTACAAAAAGCACTTCTGACAGGATGCCTTTAATGAGAAGGGGTGGAACTACAATGGTCATCTCCTAATGAAGTAAAGGTTGTTTCTGAGGGCTCTGCTATCCTGAATGAAGAAAACATTCTCTCTGAAGTGAAAAATGGCCCCAGAGAGCTACTGGCTTACATGTTCGATTAAGACTTATACACTGAATTGAAATGACACAAGTCTCTACTGACAATCCATGAGGATGAAGATGGGATAGAGTGTGAAGACGGAAGGTGTAAACATTAACTTGTTCTAGGCCTGATTCTTCATTTCCTATAGATGCTCTATGGCATGTGGGCCTGCCTGGTCTTCCCCATCTCACAATGTGTCCCTTTCCATAACCACATAATTTTCAGCCCTCGTCAGGAAGACTAGAGGCTGCTGGTCTGCCAGGTGTCCATGCACTCTCATTTCCTGGGGAGACCCATTTAAAGACTTCCTGTTATGAGATATTTACAGACTTCTCTCCTCAGTTACTTTAAAATTGTTTCTAATGAAATTCAGAGGCAAAAGAACAAAACCAAAAAACCTGCTTGGTCACTGTCCCCGGTGCCTCACAGACCAAGCATGTGGTAAACAACTGCCTAGTAGCTAAAAATTTTTAAAGAATTATTTAGTTGTTAAAGAATAAAGGATATAGTTAAACAGACTTGAAAGCGTTTATAAAATAGACTATATGGCAATTTCATAGAGAAAAAAAGCATAGGGAAAGACACCAAAATATTCACCAGCATTTGATTTACACTGTAGGGCACATTTTTACTTTCTCTTCTGTACTTTTGATAAGCCAGTGTCTGGCTGAGTGTCTAGGTTGGCTTGAAATTTGTGATCCTCTTGCCTCGGCTTCTGGAGTGCTGGGATTATAACTGTAGCTCGCCATACTAGCTCTTCTTTATACTTTCTTATATTACATTTTCTATAGTAAACACAAATTGCATTCATAACAAAATTATGTTTTGAAAGAATCACACCTTAACTCAGCAGCTGTTTATTTTGAGGAATCAAATCCGAGGCACTGAGAAATGACATTCCTAGTAATGTTACATAGAGCAACAAAGGCATGTGCAGCAATCTGTATGAACAGAAGAGCTGTTAGAACTCATCCATGCTCTGAAATGCAGCTAACAGCTTTCAAACGTGATGCAGGATGAAAATGTCTGGAGGCAGACAGAGGTAGAAGGTATCATTTGAGTTCAAGCTTAGTGAGTTCCAGACCAGTCAGAGCTACACAGTAAGACCTTGTCTCAGAAAGAAAAAAAGCAAAAAGGGAAGTTTGAGGAGAGATGACTTATTTGGTAAGGGTGCTTGCTGTTTTTGCAGAGGACCTCGGTTTGATTCTCAGCACCCAGGTGGCAGTTCACAACCACCGAAACTGTACTTACAGGGGATCTGAGCCTTCACAGTTACCAAGCACACATGTGGTGCACATACATATATGTAGGTGAAACATGCATACACGTGGAAAAAAAAGAACGTTTAAGAACACACAAAAAGGGACTGCCGAAGAATACTTGGTGTTATAGGCTTAAAAAAAAAAGGAATGAATGAGTAAATAAATAAATAAACCATGCAAAATTCTTACTAGATGGTGGTGGTACATGCCTTTATTTCCAGTGCTGATCTCTGAGTTCCAGGCCAGCTTGGTCTACATATGAGTTCCAGGACAGTCAGAGCTAGAAAAACCCTGCCTAGAAAAATTGAAGAAACACACACACACACACACACACACACACACACACACACACACACACACAAATGCTCACAGCAAATAAACTACAACTATGTCCTGAAATATTCCAATTCAAGTGTATGATTTCAACCTTATAGTTCTCACTGGTTATCTCTCCTACCTAGCCAGGCCTCCTGAAATTTCTCTCTAGAGCCTCCTTCAGTAGTGTGGAGCTATGGAAGGCTGTGCTAGGAAAGAAGGCGGGGCTAGGGAAAGTGGAGTTAGGGAAAAAGATGGGGCTAGGGAAGGCCTCTACTATCCTTTGGGAGCATGGTTCCGGACCCAAGCCAATTTTTCCTCTAGTCTTGTGCCTTATTAGTATAGTCTGATCTTACCACAAATCCTCCTTTGGTGGATATTCAATTATTTCTTTAGTGCTTTTATTTTTTCCCCTTTAATGATTCAAGTTTATGCAGAACCACAGGGAAGTGAAAATTTCCCACTGAAACAAATCAGAAATTGCAAAAAGAAATTGAAATTAACCCTGGCAAAATAGGCCTCATATATATCAAGCTTACTTAGTGAATTCCAGGTTGGTTAGGACTACAAAGTGAGACCTGTCTCAGGAAATATATACGTGTGTGTGTGTGTGTGTGTGTGTGTGTGTGTGTGTGTGTGTGTGTACAAACACCTTCCCCCCTTAATGGCTGGACTCCCTTTTAACCCAATTAATTTTCTCTTAAATTTGCAATGACAATCATATATAAGAGCAGAAAGACAGAGAATCAGAGAATGAGAGAATGTCAATTGTGTATTGTTTCCCATGTCTTCCCTAACAGAATTCTGACTTTATTCAGGTATGTGACATGATCAGGAGCTATCTCCATGGTTCTTTAATTAAAACAGCTTGTGCTTTGTCCACAAACAGGGCAATGAACAAGGAATCAAACCATCAACAAAAGACAAAGTTGAGGAAGCATGATCAAATACATCAGCACATTGTGACCTGTGAATTAATTTTATTAGCACCATTTTCAATTTACAAATAAAGAAACTACAAGTTGAGGTTAAATGATTCACTTGAAATGAATGGATTCAAACCTTAACCTTCTGACTTCCACTCTCAGTTCTCTAATACATGCTGCTTTCTAGAAAGTCAAATAGAGAATTTATTTGACTTTATAGAAAACCCAGATGTAAAGACCAAATTGTTGGCAGGCAGAGTGATACATGCCTTTAATACCAGCACCAAGAAGGCAGAGACAGGTGGATTTCTGGGAATTCAAAGCCAGCCTGGTATTCTACATAATTAGCTTCAGAATAGTAAAAGTTACATAAAGAAACCCTGTCTCAGATGGTGTGGTGGTGCATGCCTTTAATCTTAGCACTGAGAGACAGAGGCAGGTGGATCTCTGAATTCTAAGTTTGATGCCAACCTGGTCTACAGAGTGAGAACTAGGATAGCCAGGGCTACACAGAGAAACCCTGCCTTGAAAAACAAAACAAACAAAATCAAAATTATCCTATCTTTACATATGCCAGAATAATATCCAACCAAACTATGGGAAACTATTCTTTTGATTAAATTCCAAGATTCTACTGGTGATATTAACATGCCATGAATTAATAAGTAGTAGTACCATACCCAGTTTGTAAGTTGTTACCTTAGGCATATTTCTTAATACAGTCATGAAAACTTAACATTATGTACAAGGCTCAAAACAGGAAAGAAAGAGAAAAATGAAAATTAAATTTGGTAATTGTTACTGCTGTTTTTCAGTAACACAACAAAATAAGTTTCATTTTAAACAAAACTAGTCTTCATTTCTGTATACAGTAGAGCCTTAGTGGGTACAAAATTACATGACTAAGCCATTACGTCTCAAAGCTCACACTGCCACTGAGTTTTCATGCGTTAGGAAAGAATTAATAGCTTTCTAAAGATTGAAGGACTTTGTGGAATTTCCTGATTAAAACAGCCTCACTCTGCCCCAAATAAAAGAGCAAGGAAATCAAAACGACCCAACAAGAGACAAAGAATGAACTACCCTGGACCGAACCATCCAACCTCAGGAGGCTCTGTTCAACCTTAGGTGGAAGGATGTGGCTTATCTTCTTCATTGCCCTGAGGGGGCTGCAGCAATCCATAAAAGCAAACGCTACTAAGGACCAGAGGAGCCTTGGACGTTTGACACTGTTCTCTCGCTGAGATCGTAGATCGCTCCTCATATGCTAGCTCACCTCTGAGATCATGATGAAAGCTACTGATAGCTGTGCAACCTCCTGCTGCCCAAGTGCAACAGTAATAGACCGTGTTGGCAGGTCCAGAACATTTACGGAGCCTTGTCAGAGCACTAACGCTTCAATAACCGATCACCCCTACCAAAAGAATAGTAAGAGAGAAACACCTGTCGTACTGTCACTCCACAACCGTGACCACGGCGCAGATGCCCACTCTCTGTCGCGCGACTCGAGCTAAAACCACCTCAAGAAGGCTTCAACCTTCCGCTAGATGACAGCCAGCAACTCCCGCGCCTTTCGACTTCCGGGTATGCTGGCGACCCCGCCCACCACACGCTTCCGGAAACGGGCCCCGCCCTCCGGCCCACACGCTAGAATCCCACGGTCCCCGCCCCTTCCGGGAAGCCAGCTGCGGGGGAAACTAGCGGCGGAGCGGGCTTCGGCCTCCTCGCTGCCTTACCTCCGAGTTACTTTCGTTTTCCGCGGCCAGGCACTCCGGCCCAGGTGAGCACACCGACCCAGGGGCGGTGGGCGTCAGGAGCTGCGCGTCGCCGTGGCTGCCCGGCCAGCGCGGCTCCTGGGCCCTGCCGAGGACGCGACCGAGCTCGGCGCTGAAGTGGCGCCCAGCCACGCCCAGGCTCACCGAACACCGCGCTCCTCTGCGGGCCGCGCGGCCGTGCGACCCCCGGGAGGTGAGCGGCACCGACACCCGCGCTCGCGACGTAGCTCCGGGGCCGCTCGTCCTCCTCCACCCGAGCTCCGCTGGGTGGGGCGGCGCTAGGCTGCGCCCGCCTCTGTCCCCGCCTCTGCTCACGCCCCGGGGCGGTGAGGGTGCCAGCCTCCGAGCTGGGCAGCGAGTTCCGCCGATCACGACGCCTTCCCACGTCGATCCCAGAGGCCTGCCACCGGAAAGAATCGCAGTTCTGCCTTGCTTTCGGGCTAGTTCTGAGAGAGCCATTAAAGAGAGGTGCTCCTAGCTGCCCTGTCAGGGCTGAGTCAGCTTGGCCAGCTGGAAAACACCGAGTGCGACAGCGGCGACTGAGAACTGGCAAATAAACGTTCATCTGCCATGGCGGGCTGTCGAGGAAGAATGTGATTAATTTGTAACCCTCTAAAATGGTAATTGTGAAATCTCAAGCAAAAGAAAAAGGAAGTGTTAGTATTAGTGTCATTAAGTTGCACGATAATGCACTGATCACTTATTGTCAGAAGATAATTAATGGAAAGGGAGAGGACAACAAAAGATAAAGAAGTCTTACTAATGCATACACACAACCACCATCTTAAGAAAATTCACAGCCCTAGTGTCATAGGACATTGTGGGAAACTCAACTTTTGATGCAAAGTAATCACAAAGTAATCACAAAATGGCCACAATGCCCAACATTTACAAATGGAAGGAATACAAAACGTTACCTTTATGGTTACTGTATGACTTAGCACTTTCACACACTGGTGTGTACCCAAGTGAGCATAAATGTGATGTACAAACACATGTACCTAAATTGAGGTTTTTTGTTGTTTATTTGGAGGGAGGTTGAGGGTGTACATGCAAAACTGCATGTGTGTGAGGGCCAGAAGTCTACCTCCAGTATGTCCCTTTACACACCTCTTTAAAAAAACAAAGAAACAGACAAGGCCTCACTTTTACCTTAAGGCCTTAACCTGCCTGCCTTTGCATCTCTGGCCTTGGCATCACGAGTGTCACCATGGCCAGATTTTTTTCACACTGGTTCTGGGGATTGAATTCAGATCTGTTATATTCGAATACTTGCTGAAGGAGCCCTGAACTGTATTCCCCAAGTCTCTGTACCCAAGTTGTGTTTTTGGTTTTTCTCTAAGGTTTTTTTTTGTTTTTGTTTTTGAGTGAGTATATATGAGTGTAGATTCTCCGGGAGGCATCAGGAGTTACAGGTGAGCTGTCCAATGCAGGTCTGGAACTAAATGGGCCCACTGTAAGGGCAGTATGTGCTTTTAATAGCTGAGTCCTATCTCCAGCCCCTGTGTCTGGATTCATTTCTTAAACGTTTATTTTATATGTATGCGTATTTTGATTGCATGTTTGTGCACCACTTTCGTGCCTGGTGCCCATGGAGGTCAGAGGATCTCCTGGAACTGGAGTTAGGGATGGCTGAGTCATGTGACTGCCAAGACTGAAACCCAAGTCCTCTGTAAGAACAACCACTGAACCATCTCTCCTAGCTCTGTATCTGAATTTTTGTGGCAGCTTTCCATAATTGCCAAAACTTGAAAGCAAATGAGTTACTTTTCAATAGCTATGGTAAGTGGAATACTACTTGACACTAGAATGAATTCTAGAATTAAAGAATTCAGTGTTTTTTTGTGTATATTTCTAAGTAAGAGAAATCAATCTTTAAAAAACTACACAATGTTATTTCAAATGTGACATCCTCAATGAGGGAAAGCTATGGAAATTCTACAAGGCCAATGGCTGCCAAGAGTTTGCAGGGAAACAATATACAAGTAAAAAGCATAGGGATTTTTTTTCCTTTTTTTTTCTTTTTTTTTTTTTTACAGATGGAAACTATTTCATCTGACTATAGTCCTGTGCATACCTATCATGGCATGCACTGCAGACGCATAACTAAAAAGATACATAGTGATGAGGCTAGGAAGATGGAAGGAGGGTTTCTTTTTAGGGTAGCCAGACTGAAATTATAGAGACTGAAAAGTGACATGTGGATCTATAAGCTGAAGACCTCATGTTGCTGGTAATGGCTCAGTCTTAAAATGTGACACCTCAGAATTAGGGAAGCTGATGATGTGCCTTTATGATGTGTTGTTAGTAAATGTGCTAACATTTTACTAGACCTAACTTAACAAATTATAAGTTAACTGGAGAGAGGGAGAATAGTCTTTTACTACCTGAGGTATCAAGCATTAACTAGGCTACTTGAGATGTATATCCCATGAATAAGGAGGTACTATTAAATCTATATCCCTCTTTTCTCCTTTTTTGCTTTGTCTTTCTAGGGATTTATCAAAGTTGCTGATCCCTTAAGTTAGGGTTTCATTTTCTCTTCTATTTTCAGGTTCATTGATTTGTACTATCTTTTTTTGTTTGTTTGTTTTTTGAGACAGGATTTCTTTGTGTAGCCCTGGCTGTCATGGAACTATCTCACAGAGATCTGCCTGCTTCTGCCTCCTGAGTTCTGGGATTAAAGACATGCACCATCACTGTCCACTGACTTCTGCTATCTTTATTATTTCTTCTGTTTGTGGTGGCCCTGTCCTTTTCTTTACTTGTTAGTACTGAATTATAGTTTATTGTTTTAAGACTTCCTTTTCTAATAAAGACATTTTAATTCTGTAGCTTCCCTTTTAGTCTTCTTTTTTCCACATCTCAGATGTTTTCTTATATTTTCTTTTACTCAGTCAAATCTCTTTTTTGACTCATAATTCATTCATAAGTATGTTGTTTATTTTCCTAGTATGTGGTTTTTTTTTTTTCCTCTTGAGATAAAGTCTTACTATATAGACCTGGCTGATCTTGAACTTAGAGATTCACCTGGGTCTGCTTCCTGAGTTCTAAGATTAAAGGTGTATACCACCATTCAGGCTTCCATTATCTTTTTATTGGTTTCTAATTTAGTTTTATGTTAAAGTAGAACATATTTTGTATAATTCCAATTCTAAATGGCTATGATTCAGGATGAATGTTCCACATGTCCCTGGACACCATGTACATTTGGTTTTGCTGGGTAGAGTGTTCCATAAGTGTCAATTGGATCCAGCTGGATTATGTTATTTTCTAATAATTTCATGTCCTTACTGTTTTTCTGCCTCTGATTCTATCACTGATGATAAACCTGTAGTCATCTGAATTGCTGCTCCCTTTGAGGACTACTTGGAAGTATGGTATAGAAGATACTTCCAAGAGGTGGTCTTTAATTTTTAGGCTTTCAAAAGGTTTATGTGTATGAGTGTTTGCTTGCATGTATGTAAATACATCACATGTATGTACTTTTCACAGAGTTCAGAAGAGAGTATTGGATCCCCATAACTGTAGTTATAGATGGTTGTTAGCTGCCATGTGGATGCAGGGAACCAAATCCTGGTCACCTGCAGCAACATCAAGTGCTCTTAACTCCAGACCCATGTTTCCAGCCCTGCCTTTAGATTTTAATAGCTTTGTCATGATATGTCTGAGTATGGATTGTCAGTTGTATTATGATCATTGTGTTTTTCAGTTTTCAAACTTGCATTTCTTTTTTATAGCCTTCATTCCTTTACTGAGACTTTCCACTTTCCATTGTTTGACAGCCTATTTGTAATTCACCATTGAAAAGGTTTGTTTTGGTTTTGTTTGTTTGTTTTTGTTTTGGGGGCTAGACAACATAACTTCATTGTGTCACGGTTCTAGAGGCTAAAAATCTGAAATCAAGGTGTCACAGGGTTGATTCCTTTCAGAGTTTCTGATTATCCCAATTTATGGTGACTTTGGGCTGTCTTTGATGTTCCTTGTCTTTCAGCTATATCATTTCATTTGGTTCTTCCTCAAATGGCCTTCTGGATTTCCCCTGTTCCTCAAATCCTCTTCTATATCCTCATAGATTGACATCAGTCATTGAATTTAGGGTCACCATAAGTACAGGATAGTTGGGGGCTAGAGAAATGCCTCAGTGGTTAAGAGTACTGACTGCTCCTCCAGTGGTCCTGAGTTAAATTCCCAGCAACTAGATGTTAGCTCATTAACTATCTGTAATGAGAACTGGTGCCCTCTTCTGGTGTACAGGCATACATGCAGGCAGAACGCTGTAATACATATTAAATAAATAAATTTCTAAAAAAGTAGTATCAAGTACAAGATAGTCTCTCAAGATCTGTAATCACCCCTGTAAAGATCCTCTTTCCAAATGTAGGTAGTTTCTCAGATATTGGCAGTTAGAACATATGGATATCTTTTTGATAGGGCATAGTTCAATCCACTACAAAGTATATATTACTTATAATAGAAGTCTCCAATTTTAAGTGTTTTAGTTTTGACAAATATATGTAATAGCATACCTGTCGCCATAATCATGATTCAGAAAGCCATCAGAAGCTTAGGGAGTTCTCCACAATTTTATGGTCTCTCTTTTCATCCCAGCTCCTGGTTACCACAGATCTTTCTGTAATGACTAATAAGTGAAATATAAATCCATATACGATGTTTCATCCTTTGTGTCCGGCTTCTTTGACTTAGCAGAGTGCTCTGAGAGTCATCCATGTTAAATGTATTAGTGAAATCAATAGGTTTGAAAATGTTTGAATTTAAATATAAGTTTAAGAAATAATACAGTGAATAACTTGCTCTTCAGCTCACAGTTGTGAACATTTTGCTATGCTTGTGTTGCTTTTATCCTACACTTCATCTTCACACATTTTGTGAAGTTATTGCCTAATTCACATCTTGCAAGGACAAGGATCTTTGGTTGGTTGGTTTTTTGTTTGTTTGTTGGTTGGTTGGTTTGTCTTTCAAGACAGGGATTCTCTGTGGCTTTGGAGACCCACCTGCCTCTGCCTCTCGAGTGCTGGGATTAAAGGTGTGCACCACCAATGCCCAGCTAGGACAAGGACCTTTTACTGTGGCAATTTTTTAACCACTGCAGTGAATGTATTGTTAAGTTTTTGTCTTAAAGTCTGTCATGTGAGTATACTCTTCTGTACAAATAGCAGAAAAGAAGACCCAAAACTACTGTTCAGAGATGAGTAATGTCTACTTAATATCTCAGTTAACATCTTTAGTTTTTCTTCCCATGCAAGTTGAGACTTACTGGTACTTTGAATGCCAAATGATTTTGAATTGAATTATGGATACTTTGACTGTTGTGTAAGGATGGGTGCTGGTCAATATGAGGAATGCTGTTAATTTTCTTTTACTGGATACCAACATGGTGAGTGTCAGGCCCCAGGTTACATTATGCACATATGCATTTTGATCTTTGTTCCATGTGCTTATTCAATAGCGCAAATACTTTTTTTTTTTTAGTTTAGTTCTCAGTGTCTTTGGCATTCTGATTAAGGTCAGATCCATACATATGAAGCTCTGAAATTATCTAGATATCTATATAAGCTCTATTGTGCAGCCTTTCTCTACTTGTTTTTCTTGCTCCTGG